AAATATACTGTAAAATATAAATACCCTCATTCTAATTAGAATTAATACATTAAAGATATGCAACAATCTTGGTTGGCCAAAAGAATAATATAAAACTCACTAAGAGATATTCTAAATCTATTCCAGCATATTTTCCCATTCCTCTATAAAATTCATTTTATTGAACTATGATTAAGAAACTTGTGGTATATGACTTAATACAGTTTAGTTACTGACAGGGGAGTTAATCATCATAATGATCTATGATGAGAAAAGAAGTTAATATTTTTCTTGTTTTTCCTTAACAGAATGCTTAGTTAACCAAAAGTATCATTATCCATATCATAATCTCTAAATGTGCTATGTGCTTAATTAAAATGTAAAATTAAACATGAGAAATAAACATCATGATGTATTTTGTTCCAACTGTGAAACTAAGTTTTAATCCTACTCCCAGTCCACTCCACTCAACTCTAGACTACTCTACTCTAGTTCATGTATGTAAAATCCATCGATTTGTTTCACAATTAAGGTTAAATGAATATGTTTTAATTGATCCTTAAAAAAATATAACTAGAAGAATAAGAAAATAATCTGAAAACCAACCTTGATTATCATTTTTCCCCACTAATACATCAGTGAGCACTAATCCAACCATACCAATAAGACAGACTGCAGCGCCACCTAGGTGTTGTACACGATACCTTGTGTGAAGACAGAAACGTGACAGAATCATCACACTGACCAGACTAAAACAGTCCAATAACTGAAATATGAATAAATTTGTAGAAAAAGATCAGGTGGGTAAGTACTGCCTTCACATCTCAATCTACATGTACTCTTTAAGCAGCATGCCTCCAGATTCATGCTTATTTTCATAAAAAATTTAAAAATGCATTTAAAAGTAAAATATTGTGAAATGAGAGAAGCCAGTAATTTAAATATTGCAAACGACACAAACAGTCCATGTTAAGCGGTCAAAATATGCAAAAATAGCCCTTACTGTGTAAGTCAAGCAGCAGAAAAATATGGTAATAAATACATGTACTGCAAATTTGGTGATTAAATGCACATAACATGTAAATTATTACTAATTTACTTGAATCTTTGTATGTTTCTTAAAATCTTAGTATATATTTCTCAAGATTGATTTTCTTAAAATTTTTGGCTCATCTGGAGGCATGCAGCTTTGAAGTCAAATATGTCTTTTGATTTTATATGATACCTGTCTAATTTTCTTTAGGATTTTTATACTTTTGTGGACAGCCCTCAGACTTATTAAATGCCTCATCTTGCAGGCTTTAAATGTGACCTTGTGCTTAAGGATAAAAACTATAAGATTCTATTAAATATGAAAGATGCTGATAGCATAACTATTCAAATTAGATACATTTTTGTAATTATAAAAATTGCTAAAAATAATAACAAAAAACTTTCAGACCATTTTCCAGTATACTTGGATCAAAACAGTTGCCACTAGAGTGTTAACAAGATTTTTATATTTTAAGCTCCGTTGACCTAGTTTTTCATGTGAGATGACCCATTTTCAAACTCATCCGAGCAATTACCTAGACAAGCATCCTGACCAAGTTTGATGATAATTGAGTCAAAAATGTGACCACTAGAATGTTAACAAGGTTTTTCCATATTTGGGCAGTGTGACCTAGTTTTTCATCCGAGATGACCCATGCTCGAACTTGACCTAGAAATCATCAAAACAAACTTTCAGACTGAGTCAAAAATGTGACCACTAAAGTGTTAACAAGGTTTTTCTATCTTTAGCTCCTGTGACCTAGTTTTCATCCTAGATGACCCATGTTCGAACTCATCAAAATAATAACATAAACAAGCATCCTGACTAAATTTGATGATGATTGAGTCAAAAATGTGACCACTAAAGTGTTTACAAGGTTTTTCTATTTTTAGCTCCTGTGACCTAGTTTTTCATGCGAGATGACCCATGTTCAAACTCATCTGGGCAATAATCTAGACAAGAATCCTGATCAAGTTTGATGATAATTGAGTCAAAAATGTGACCACTAGAGTGTTAACAAGGTTTTTCTATTTTTAGCTCCTGTGACCTAGTTTTACATCCGAGATGACCAATGTTCAAACTCATCTGAGCTATAATCTAGACAAGCATCCTGACCAAGTTTGATGATGATTGAGGCAAAATAAGACCACTAGAGTGTTAACAATGTTTTTCTATTTTTACCTCCGGTGACCTAGGTTTTCATCTGAGATGACCCATGTTCAAACTCATCCGAGCTATCACCTAGACAAGCATCCTGACAAAGTTTGATGATGATTGAGGCAAAAATGTGACCACTAGAGTGTTAACAAGGTTTTTCTATTTTTAGCTCCTGTGACCTAGTTTTTCATCTGAGATGGCCCATGTTAAAATTCATCAGAGCTATCAACTAGATAAGCATCCTGACCAAGTTTGATAATGATTGAGGCAAAAATGTGACCGCTAGAGTGTTAACAAGATTTTTCTATTTTTAGCTCCTGTGACATAGTTTTTTATCCGAGATGACCCATGTTCGAACTAATCTGAGATATCAACTAGATAAGCATCCTGACAAAGTTTATTGATGATTGAGGCAAAAATGTGACCGCTAGAGTGTTAACGAACAAGTGTGGACGGATGACGGACATTCAATGATCCTAAAAGCTCACCTTTGAGTAAGCTCAGGTGAGCTTACACCCTGAGCTAGCTCAGGTGAGCTAACAAAAAAGTAATTAACTAAAATCTTACAAATTTTGATTATGAATTAAATGTTTTACCTGAACACTGGTGACAGTGGTATATGCATAAGCTTTAACCACCAAGTAATTTGCCTCTACATCTATAACTGCTATCAGGAAGTAACGCCAACCCCAACTGCGAAAAATTTCTCCCATTGATCTCCCATTTTTCCGACAACATAAAATTGTTGTAAAAACCAAACATAATAACACATAGTTAAAGAAACTCTGGGCTGAAAAATAATAAAGGGCTGTGTTTTAATAAGAAAGTTCTATGGTGTTGCTATGGCGATAACAACCAATTTAAGTATCCTATTGAAGTTTTGTTTATTTTAGTTTTAAACATACTTTTTTGGACTGATTGTGATGAAAAATTGACATTAATTTTATTTGAACAGTCAACCATTCTGGATAGTGGCTTCCTGGAACAAACTAGTACTGGTGTCCCATGAGGGAACATGGTTGTGAACCGAGAACCCACATCCTTATGTTGAGCAAACACTTTAAGCAATTGTAGGTCTCTCCCACCAACCCCACTTTTAATGCACTTTACTTAATGTCACATCTGCATTATGAAGATGACTCTAAAGGCAACCCTATTTTATACTTCTAAGGTAAGCCAGAATTCCTTCTGACATTAAAAATGAAAATCAGTGGTTAAGCATACATAAATAATTGATACAAATTCCAGAATTTCTAACCTGTAGGTATATTAACACCTTGTTGTTGTAACAGACCAGTGCTGACAGCTGTTCCACATAGTAACAAAGAAATAAACTGACCCAAAAACAATGCCTTCAGAAAATACCTGTAAAGTAGGAAATATATAAGAAATCTGAAGAAAAACAAATGACCCAAAAACAATGACTTCATAAAATACCTGTAAAATAGGAAACATATATGAAATCTGAAGAAAAACAAAATCCTAAAAAATACAAGAAAATTTTGTAAAAATCCTTTTTACCTTGTCAGAATCTGACTATAGCTCTATTCCATATAGCCGGCAGTACATCTGAATTATTTAAATAAACGAAACAATTCTTGGAATATTCACTAACAATACCAAGAAACACATACATTTTTGTAGTTCTAAGTTTGCAATTCTAATGACTCTGCAATGGAGACACTTACATGAAAAGAAATAGAATATATTCCCATGTAGGAAAAAGTAGTCCTTAATTATATACAAAGGAAATGATTTTTTTTTACACTTTTTGAAAATGGTGTCAGTAAATAATCATAAATGAATATAATTATACCTTTGGTTACAGCCTTTTAAATTCTGCCATATCATTGTGAGAAAAATGTTAAAAAATAAATTAAAGCCAAAAAGAAATAAACATATAATAAATGAAAATTCTAATTTTTAAGTAGCTATTGAGAATCAAATTGTTCAGAAAAAAAATTTCAGTATCAAACTGATTTAGTATCTTAACTTAAAGTAACATTTGATGCATTGGGTTCAGTAATATACCAAATATCCATAAGATGTGTGCACAGTCATATCTTTAATAATTGACATCAACTGATCAACTGAAATAGTGCAGATTCCTAGCAACTAAACAATGCAGTAATACAGTAAGATTATTGTCATCTACAAATCGTGGGCTTGGTTCAAAAATGGTGTAACTCCTTCTTTATGTAATATGAGTTACAGCCATGTCACACAAAGCTCTCAAACTGAATGACTCCGTTTGCACTCCTTTTTTAAATCGTAACAAGAATACATTTGTAGAAAAAAAATGCTATACCACCATATTAATACAACACTATATATTGAAGGAACAGAAGCAAGTCATTACGGTTCAGATACAAAGGCAATAGTATAATAATTAATTTTTAAAAAAGGTATTCTTATTTGATAAAAATTTAGAAAAATACATAGCTGTATTAAACTTTGATATACAGTTACAGTTATTTTTCTTAAACACTATCTTTTCAATTAAACATACCCTAATTCTTTGAAAAGAAGAGGTAGAAATACAATCATTTCAAAGATTTAATTATAATATGCCTAAGATTTAAAATGCCTTTATACAAATAATGTTGACTGACAAATCTCCACAAAAAGCAGCCTAACTTTGTTCATTACTATAGGACTAGTTATGGCATTATTGCATTTAGCAAGTTAAAGTCCTTATATTAAAAGTTCAAGATAATTAAACCCCCCCTTACCTTTAAAAATCAGAAGTTGCTTAAATATGAGCCTTGTTTGTTTTCCCTTCTAATTATCAAACCCCCCATTTCTGTTACCTTCCATTCTTTACAGAAAAATTTTAAAAACTTTTATTTTTTTTTAATTTCAGGCATAGGCATTCTGCCAAATACCCCTTACGTCCTGTTTGTAAAGAAAACTTATAAGTTATAACATCTTGTAGTCTATGTAATGATATAGATATATATTATACATGTATCAGGTTACCCACATCATATAAGACTAAAGGGTCACATCATATAAGGGTAATGAACTTCCATTCTGAGTTAGTTGAAACATGGTGTGCACTTTTAGAAATTAGTTCAGAGCTAGTGCACCCCTTATTTGGGAAAAGGCCTTTTTTAGCCTTTTGACTTTGGGAAGAGTTTCTCTAAAATTCCTGATATGGGGAATAAAAAGTTAAGTGTTTAAATTTTTGGGACAAATGCATGATTTTAAAGAAAATTTCTATTGGGGAGAGGCCTATCATATGCTTCTGTTATTAAAAGTTAACAAGAGGTGTCAGTAAGACAGTGTGCTCAACTATTATGAGTACTTGCCTGGAAGTTTGATGACAGTCTCTTACCAGTATTTAAAGTGTTAACGCTTTAAAGCATTAAAGAGTATAGGAAAAAAGTGAAGTTGTATGAAAAACTTAACCGAAATTCTAAATTGAAAAAGTGGCATAATCCGGGGTCTAATCCAGGATTTAGCTGAAACAGACCCCTTGTCAAATAGGGCAGCTCTCCCAATTATATAATAGCGAGCTCGAAGGACCTGCTTTTTTTTAAAACTTTTGTCGCAAGTACTGAATTGACGCAACTTTTTGAATTACAAGATTACAATTAAAGGCGAGGAAATCTGATTGAAAACGGATGTGTAGACTCCGGTACGTGTCCTGCGCCTTTTACAGGAACCAAAACAGGAAGGGAACTAGAATAAATGGAATCAGTGTATAAAATACCAAATGACAGTTTTAAAACAGAAAATGTAATATGAAAATGAGCAATTATTTTAAACTTTATCATGGTAAAAGTAAATCGAGCTCGCTTTGACTAGTTTGAAGCTTTGCCTTTTTCATATTAGTCAAGCTAAAAATCCCTGACACCATGTGCACAAGAGTAGAAAGATTAGATTGAACTCAACTGTAGCTATTATAACTTGTGAAACTTACCCTTAGAGTCTCAACCTCCTGACTTTTTCTGGTGTCAAATTAAGAAATGTGATTGTAGCCTTGGAACTTTAAATCATAATAACGTTAAATCACAAACTTCTGGTAATCACGCAGATACCTTAGTTTAATTGTCTGAGGAATCTTTTCGAAATTTCACGTAGAACCACGCCAAGCTGTTTATATGACTGTTGGAAATAATCAGATTGTGAATCAGAGCTTCTAGAGCACAGTAAGTTTTAGTACTTTAGAACCTAATTCAGCATTGATTGATTACTTCTGTTTCGGTGTCAAATTACAAACCATCAAGTTTCAGGAAAACCCTGTCATATACAAGTTAGTAAATCCAACGTTTTTAAATAATAAAGCAAAATAATTTTTGTTAGATCACTTTAAAAGTAATTCACATGACGTGAAATTCTTACAAAAATATAATTTTGTAGATTTAGAACTACAAAGATTTAACAAAATATAATTTCTTTCATCACTTCAGTGTAATCATTATGTCTTATACGTTGCTAGAGTCCATCAATAATGATTTATTCACTTAAAGTTTACATCGATTGCAAAATTACAGAAATAAACACCTTCACCGGTAACATTTCTCGCATGTTCAGCCATTTTGAACAAAAAATAGTACGGCAGTGTTGATTGGATGATATGTGACAAAGCCTTAGCTATCAACCAATCAATACATTGAATGCAAATCGGTAATTACAATGAAAATGACAACCGGAAGTGAAATATGTTTACATTTGCGTAGCAGACAGCATATTGATATTTATTTAACGATTTTGTCAATTAAATGTTTAAATAATTGTAAATGATAACACAAAATGGTTGAACCAATATTTGACTTTCAATTTAGACTCATTCTTATAGGAGACAGCACTGTAGGGAAATCTTCTTTATTGAAATATTTTACAGATGGGAAATTCTCAGAACTCTGTGATCCAACAGTTGGTGTCGATTTCTTTGCAAGACTTATAGAAGTAAAGAATGGGATTAGAGTCAAATTACAACTATGGGATACAGCTGGTCAGGAGAGATTTAGGTAAATTTCATATATTATTGAGTGAAGCCATGGTTTCTTTATTAATCTTTTCATGACCTAATTAATTCAACATGGCTGCCAGCCTGAAAGTGATGGCATCAGTTGCAGACATTGCGTGGGTTATTTTTTTCGTGTGCCTTGACTTTTAATCAATAATCAGTTAATGTTTTTATAGTAAACTCGTTATAAAAGTCTTGAATTGTTTTAAATTGAAATTATTTTTAATGATATAAATGAATGACAATTAGACATAATGATCTAATCAATTCAAACATGTGATCACTTTTCTTAACAAGCTTGCCTTTTGTTATTTCATTGAAATAATGAGTGTGTCTACTGCATTAATTGATTACCAGTTTGTAATGTTAAATCAAATGCTTATTCTATTTATCGAATATATATACATGTTATGTTTTTTCTTTTAATCAAATTTTAATGATTTTAAACACCTTGATTTAATCATCTTGTCTGCCAGTTATCATTTGAAGCTTTTTTGTCCCCCGCCTTGTCGAAGAAAAAAGGGGGATATAGTAATAGGCTCTGTCCGTCTGTCCATCCGTCAAACTTTCGTGTCTGGTCCATAACTTTATCAAACGAATCTGAAATAACTTGGCACAAATGTTTGTTATAATAAGACGATGTGCCATGTGCAACAACCAGACCCCTACTTCCAGGTTCAAGGTCGCACTTGCTCATTCAAGGTCAACATTGTCTATTTGATGGTATATGTTGTGTCCGGTCCATATCATTCTTATCTTTGATTTTGTAGATACTTGCCACAATTGTTCACAATAATGAGACGATGTGTCATGCGCAAAACCGGTCACCTACCTCCAAGGTCAAGGTCACACTTGGAGGTCAAAGATTTACATCGTCTGTTACAGGGTATATTTTGTGTCTGGTCCATAACTTTTCCATAGATCAAAGGATTTTGTAAATACTTGCCACAAATTGTAACTATAATAAGACAATGTGTCATGCACAACACCTGCATCCCTACCTCCAAGTTCAAGGTCACACTTAGAGGTCAAAAGTTAACATAGTCTGTTTAAGGGTATATTTTGTGTCTGATCTAGAACTTCTTCGTTTTTTGAAATAACTAGGCACAAAAAGTCACAATAATAAGACAATATGTCAGGTACAACACCTGCACCCCTGCCTCCAAGGTCAAGGTCACATTTAGAGGTCAAAGGTTAAAGGTTAACAGAGTCTGTTATATGGTATATTTTGTGTCCCGTCCATAACTTCTTTATAGATCAAGGGATTTTGAAAAATATTTGGTAAAAATAGTCACACTGGTAAGATGATATGTCATGTGTAACACATGTGTCCCTACCTCCAAGGTCAAGGTCACACATAGAGGTCAAAGATTTACATAGTCTGTTATAGGGTTAATTTTGTGTTCAGTCCATAACCTTTTCATAGATCAAGGGATTTTAAAAATACTTTGCACAAATAATCACAATAATAAGATGATATGTCAGGTGCAAAACAGGTCCCTACCTTAAAGGTCACACTTAGAAGTCAAAGATTGACAAAGTCTGTTATAGGGTATTTTTTTTGTCTGATCTTTAACTTCTTCTTAGTTTAAGGGATTCTGAAAAACTTGGCACAAATAGTAATATTAATAAGACGATATGCCATGCACAACACCTGCACCCCTGCCTCCAAGGTCAAAGTCACACTTAGAAGTCAAAGGTTAACATGATAGATTTTTTAATTCCGTGTTTCATTTTACTGGTATTTCTTAATCATAATTTTGGACTGAAAGTCATGAGATCCATACCTCAATCTTTTGAAGTAGCACAATTTTTTGCTTCATATAAAACTTCCCCGAGGTGGGGGACGTTGGTAACTCTGTTACAAATTCTTGTTGCTTTTAATGTAGCTCTTTTATTGGGTTGTTAACTTTGATTAGAGCTGGGATAAGTACTTGAGATGTTAAGTACGTTGGTATCGGGCCTGGTAACACCTGTACTGTGGTACTAAATCATTACCCAGGTATACTTGTATTATAGGCATAATAAATTTAATTATGTACAGTGTTATTTTGTATAACTTTCATTTTGGGAAGAATGGAGGAAAAGATCATGCAGAGGGGGGATTTGCATTATATAAAATTCCAAAAAAATCTTTTAGAAATGAGAAAACACTACATTTAATACTAAATTGTGATACAACACCCATTATAATTTTAAACTATAAAGATTATGTCTCTACACAAAATGCAGGCTAATGGCAGGGTATTTTTCCAGGATTTTAGGAACATGACCCATACCCATGGAATCGGGAATTTCAGCAAGGTTTTGGTAAAAATTTGGAAAAAAATGCATAACTTATATTTTGCAGAGATTAAATGAATGCAAAGAATCACTGTCTAGGATGGCATCTTCAAACATTTAACCACCATAACAGTGAAGAAGCCCTTATTTTCAAAGATTTTAGAATTTGTGATTCAATATTTTTATTTTGTAACTTTCAATTGGGAATTTTTTCCTGTGGATAGGGAAAATAATAAACTATTTTCAGTTGGGAATATGACCGAAGATCGGCTATAAAATAAGCCAAAAAAAATCCCTGAATGGTAATCATTGCACATATGTCTTTTCATTAATATCAATCGGCAAGGTAGGGAATGGTATGTTCAAGCTGTCATATCAGGCATGAGGCGAGTAAAATTTTGATGCCAGTATCATCAGGCTATGTAGTCCCTTGAACTTGATGTGCAAATGTTCTGTTCATTCAATAAGGACAAGGATTAAAGATGATTAAAAATGATATAGCTGTTCTGATAGTGTGTTACTAATTTGAAGTCAATGATTTTCTTTTCCATTTTAACAATATTGCATACCGGTATAAAATAAGTACATGTATACAATATTGATAAGTGGAACAAACAATCAATTCAGGTTAAGTTATTGACGTAAACCTATGTTTCTACTCTTACAGGACTTCATCAGGGTTTGAAAATATTGTATTTGAATCATATTACATATTGATAAATATTTTTTTATAATTCATTTTTCATTCAACTTTTCATTTCAGGTCAATAACAAGATCATATTACAGGAACTCTGTAGGAGTGTTAATTGTGTTTGACATTACAAAGAGACAAAGCTTTGAGAATATAACAGGATGGTTAGCCGAGGCGAAATTTCACATAGAACCACACCAAGCTGTTTATATGATTGTTGGACATAAGTCAGATTGTGAATCTGAGAGACAAGTGTCTTCTAGAGAAGCCTCACAATTTGCACAACTAAATGGACTGAAATATATAGAAACGTCAGCAAAGAATGGTCATAATGTGGAGGAAACATTCCAGACTTTGGCAAAGGATGTGTACAAGCTACTGGAAGAGGGCAGGGTTAAAATGCAAGAAGGATGGGATGGTATAAAACCAGGTTTTAATCGAGGAGAAGAAACTGTTCATCACCTTGATGAGGAAGAGACGGAGAAAAATAAATGCTGTTGAACAATAGATGTTATTTGGAACTCAACAGATATGGGATTTTACCATCTAATCACAGGGGTACAAACAAAACTTAACCTTTATATAGTTTCATGGTGCAATACCATTCACAATAAAGTGATCAACAAGTAACGATTATTGTCGAAATATTTACCAAGTAGTAACTGTAAGGTTTGTTTGTACCCCAGGATAAGATGGGAAAAACCCACATTTACCAAGTTCTCTAGTATAATCTCATTCATATGCTGTATTTTCTAACTGTAATTTTTGGCTGACACCAGGCTAGATTTCAGAGCTAAATCAGAACAGTTAATTTATTTGTACACATTTAAACAAAATGATTTCATAAAAGTGAGTCTGTAGCGTTTACATTTTATAGACTCTTCAATGAATTCCAAGGAACATTAAATTTTGATATTTTAGTGCTTTACAGAACTTTTTGAGGTTCAAGTAATCAATGAGGAATAAAATGTTTTGCTAAAGGCAAATTATGCCTCAGGAAGGAATAATTCTGTTCTTTAGAAAGTAGAAAGGGCAAGCATAGGTTATATAATGTTAAATAATGGTTATAGAGCATGATAAAGCCTTATAAAAACACTTGAGAGAAGAGATCATAAAAGTAACGAAATGTAAATAATGAAGTGTTTTGACATAGATACTAAACACTAAATGAAAATAAATATGCTAATTGTCAAAGAATAGAAGCAAAAGATTTTTTTCAGGTAATTGGCCTGTAAATTACTACCTGGATATCAAACATAATAAAAAAACACCAGAAACCTTCATTTTGGGGACATAATTGGTCTTTAAGTCTGATGTTTATATGACATCTATATAGCAAATTAATTTCAAGTGTTAAGATATTTTTAGAAAAAGTTGCTGAAATATTCTCTTTTTCAAGTTATTTATGAAGTTGAGTGTATCATTGCACTAGTCAGTGATGTGATGGAGTGCTAATCATGTTTTAAGATGATTTAACAGTCGTACAGTTTTAACATAGTATTGATCACTTAATAGGGTAATTTGTTAATTGTTGCAATTAATTGATGTATTTCATTTTCATTCTACTGAATGGAATATTTACTTCTAGAGGAAAGAGATAGTATACACAGTCTGTGACTGTAAATATATGTGATTTATGTGATTGGATGCTTAATTTTCACAGTTATTTTTCAAAATTTTTTTACGTAACATTAGAGAATTTATGTAAATATTAACATCTGATAAATCATTTTAATATAGGTATTTAATGAAATTTTTAAGTCATTGTAAAATCTTATCTTTCTTGATTTTTTTTTGCATCACCAAATATGTTACAAGGACTTGTCCATCTTTCAGTCTGGAAACCCCGATGTATCATTTTTTAACGGTAAATTTCAAAATCTGTACTGATTGAAAAGGCGACCAGTGCTGGTCAGACCCGGTACGAATGTGATGGTGATTTTGGTTTTCACTGGTTGCATTGGAATATTCAGTTGATGCCAAAAAGATTAAGGGTTAATTAAAATCCCTTGTGTCTTGGATAGTCAAAAGCTAGCTAACAGATTTTCCTAAGTGATACAAGTATATACATATGTATATGTATGTACTTCATATAGTTAAGTGACTGTTAAATCTTAAAGCATTGTAGATTCTAGTCTGTTCATTGCACTTGCAAAGATCACCTTCACTCGAAAACTATGATTTAATGTCTTTCATTTTTGTTTTTAGAAGTTTTACATAAATTGGTGTAAAATATTTTAACTGAATTCATTTACATTTGGAGTGAGATTTTGTCAATCTTTTACATTAAGTAATTGTCTTAAGTGTTATTTGTTGTGAATTTTTATTTTAAAACAAAGAGTTGTGGCATTTGCTTTACTTTAGTACTTTAGGTCAGTTAATTTGTGTTTGTTATTTTCTCTGATTTATTTCTTTATAAACGTCTTAAGGTTTAACTTTAAAAATAGAAAATCAGTTTCCAGTCAATAATGAAAGTGATAAATGATAATTTATATTTCAATGAAACTTAGTGTATAGCAAGTTGATGAAAATACCTGGCTTATGATTGCTTTTGGGCCTTCTGGTTGGTTCATGGTCAAGGTCACTGTAACTAAAAATAGAAAATCAGTTTGTTTTCTTTATTTAGAGCATTTGGAACTCAATGATGAAGCCTGTAGGTTAATTACTTTGAAACACTTGCTCCTTACCTCTGTATTGACTTTGTGTATATTTCATAACTATCCTGCTAGCTTATTGATGGTGAGTGGTTCTAATGCGGTACCTGAAATGATGCAAGTAGAATACATAAAAGTCTTCCTCTCTTGGAAAGTTGCCATAATATTGTTGTCACTTTAAACCACTCAAAAAAAAATAATGCTTCTTTACTTTCTAGAAAACTTAATTATGTGTTCAACAAAAAGAACACCATCTCTGGGTCAATATTGACACTATATTTTACTTGAATATCTGGTAAGCAGGTGTTAAGAAAGCTAGAGACGTCACACTTTTATAGACTTTTAATGAGTCTTATACCTAAGCTTATTATATAATTTAGATATGAGTTTGGACAAAATGTAAATTTCTAAAATAATTCTATAGGAATAATGTTTGTCATTCTATAGTGTCATTTAAGCCTCACCATGCTAAATATTAAAAAATGGATTTTCCCATCATTTAATCTGGACAAAACTATTTATCATGATAAGGGAAATTCTGTATGGATTTAAAAATGTAAAGACTGAATGACTATGACATCTGGTCACTTGGGTAGAATCAGTTCTCACCAGTTAATCTAGGGGTTAAAGATATTTTTATTTAGAGTTGTGAAACATGTCCGCGTATTTGGTACATGTGGCATTTAGTTCATGTAGCAGTTTTTGCAAAGACATGTTACCTATAGTTGTTAATATTCTTTGAATTCTTTTACTTTTGTACCATTTTTACCAAGTGACAGGGGTTACAAATTGATTTGTTTGTCTATCAATATTATATTGATTTTATGTTCAGATTTTATATTCGGGTTTCTTTAGGGCAAGTCTTAGCCCATTGGGAATTTTATTTTTTTTCTTTAGGGCAAGCCTTAGCCCATAGGGAATTTTATTTTTTTGGATTCTAATTGTTTGAAAGTAATTCTGTTTGAAAGGTTTTTGTGGAAAGAGTGTATCCCTATGTGTCACCTATATCAATGTTGAATCAAAACTTAACAGATATCTGGCCAGCTTTGTAGGAAAAAGGACAAGCAGCTTTTATTATTTATGTTTTATCTTGATTTTTGTTTTACATTATACATATTAAACATTAGTTATACAGTTACAATGTATTTTAAATTTGTATACAGATTTTTTGTTTTTATCATAAAGTTATCAGTTTTATACAGGTTGAGTGTACCTGATTTTATGTTGGTACATATTACTTATATATTAACCTTTTGCTATAAGATATATTATGGTTTTGCTTACATATAATTTATATTATGTTTAACATATATCCAACTTTACTTAACCTTTATTGTTAGCTATTGTACTACTTGTATTTTGTTAAGATTTTATTAAAATATTTTTTTGCACCATTGCTATTCTTGCTTCCAGGATTTAAAATACAGTAAGATGAAAAATATAATTTATGATTCTTTATAACCAATATTGCAATTTTCAAGACTTTTCATCTAAACCTGACTTAATCTTTGTTCAAAAACTTATACAAAAAGGAAGTGAAGTTTCCACAAGTAAGAGAACTTCCTACTATCCATCTGTTAGGAATGCGGAGGTTATGTACCATGGAGGAAACATATAAATGCGTAAATCTGTTTCATATATTGAGGTAACATTTATTATATGTAATTATGGTTTATTGTCAATTGAAGTGAAAGGGACATAGAATTAGATATATTAATAGTTGAAAATACTGTATATTATACTATTGATCAGTGTTATTTGCAGTGTGTTCTAATGTACATGTAACATCTGTTTTCAGTTTCAATTAGCATACTTCATAAATTTACAATAAATGTGCAATAATCTGTACAGGTTACATACCTTATACAGCAGTACATGTAATATATTTGTAGACTTAAAATGAGTGGTGACATTTTCTTGAAAATAATTTCTCTGTGTAAATTAATGTTGGACATCAAGTCTAATGTTCATTTGTCTGTCATTGCTGTTTTGGAAATCATTTGGGATTAATGATCGTCATTTGTGGAGAAATTAGTAATTACTAGTTAGTTAACCAGGAAAGTGGGCTATGTGGACCGATGGTCAACACGGTCAAGATATGACTAAAACCGTGTTGAACTTTCCAATAATTAAAATAATGCCTTATCAGCATTTGTGCTTTTCAAAGGTAAAAAAAATATAACTTTTCTTTCTTTTTGGTCAATTTGTTAATTATAACATTGAAGTTAACAAGAAACTGAAATAAGTTGGGATGATTAAGAACGAAAATATAGCCTTGATATTAAAAGAGAAATTACATTTTAAGTTATTTAATAGGTTTCTATTATATTAATCACAATTTTCACTAAATATGGTGAAAAACAACATGAACTTTGTATTTTCTGTCAAATATTAAACCTTATCTATTATTTCTGTCAATGTATTAATGTAATAAAACTATTTCTGGTGACAATATTTATTATTTAGCATGCCTAAAATGAATTTTGTACTAGTGATAAATTTATATAAATCAGACATTTATTTGTATGTTTTAAAGGAATTGGAGAAAATAGTTACATAATATTGTCAGTATTTGTTAAAAGTTGTATATGCAGTTATTTATGCTCAAAACTTAGATGTGCTCCCCGCCCACATTGTGCTCTGTGCTCTTTCTTGTGACCAATCTTTTGCTTTTTATAGATATAATCATATATAGCTTTGTAAACCTTTTCAAGTAAACCTTTTCAATCATGTTATAAAATCATGTCTAAACACTGTATATCATGTTCTAATAATCATGTCTAAATAATGTATATCATGTTATAAAATGCATCTTGTCTTTGGCTTTTCACTCTTATAAATGTTTTAGATCCAATGATTGATGTTCTTGAAGCATAGATTTCATTATAAAACTAATATGCTATTATTATCTTTAAAGACAATAGTACGTATTGATTGAGGTAATACATAGAAAACTGTTTTAGATAAATAATTTTAGGATTTACATTGTATTTTAATATGGATTTTGAATTGAATATCTTATTTGCTTTTCATAGTTGAATTACAATGGAGTATCTTTCAGATGAAGTAATTTTTTGTAATAATGCCTTTTTTAAGTCCATAAAAATATCATCTATAATATGTAGATTCCTAAAATATATATTTTATCGTCAGTTGATCACGTTTCTTTTGTTTCCAAGCATTTTGTTCATTGAGTGATGCCACTGTATGTTGAGACATTTTTTTATATCATTTATTTTTCACTGGTACAATGGTTGCAAAGTGTACTAGTATTGAACTCTTACATATATTTCATTTTTCCTCGCACATTTAAGGTTCAACTTACTAGTTTTCTTATGGAAATTAGTTCTTCTTTCTTCATTTTGATACTTTTTAGCTCACCTGTCACAAAGTGACAGGGTGAGCTTTTGTGATCGCTTTTCGTCCGGCGTCCGTCCGTCCGTCCGTCGTCCGTCCGTCGTCCGTAAACTTTTGCTTTAAAAGACATCTCCTCATAAACCACTGAGCCAATTTCATCCAAACTTCACTGGAATGTTCCTTTGGTGGTCACCTTTAAAAATTGTTCAAAGAATTTAATTCCATGCAGAACTCTGGTTGCCATGGCAACCGAAAGAAAAATCTTTAAATATCTTCTTTTAAACAACCCTAAGAGTTAGAGCTTAGATATTTGGCATGAAACATCTTCTAATGAGTGTCTACCAAGTTTGTTCAAAAAAAAGCCCTGGGGTCAAAATTGGCCCCGCCCCGGGGGGTCATTGATTTCCCTATATGCATATAGTAAAAACTTAAAAAATCTTCTTTTAAAGAACTGTAAGAGCTAGAGTTAAGATATTTTGGCATGGAACATCTTCTAGTGAGTGTCTACCAAGTTTGTTCAAATAAAAGCCCTGGGTCAAAATTGGCCCTGCCCCAGGGGGTCATTGATTTTCCCTATATGCATATAGTAAACACTTAAAAAATCTTCTTTTAAAGAACTGTAAGAGCTAGAGCTTAGATATTTGGCATGAAACATCTTCTAGTGAATGTCTACCAAGTTTGTTCAAATAAAAAGCCCTGGGGTCAAAATTGGCCCGCCCCAGGGGTCATTGATTTTCCCTATATGCATATAGTAAAAAATTAAAAAATCTTCTTTTAAAAACCCAAAGAGCTAGAGCTTAGATATTTGGCATGAAACATCTTCTAGTGAATGTCTACCAAGTTTGTTCAAATAAAAGCCCTGGGGTCAAAATTGGCCCCACCCATGGGGGGTAATTGATTTTCCCTATATGCATATAGTAAAAACTTAAAAAATCTTCTTTTAAAGAACCGTAAGAGCTAGAGTTAAGATATTTGGCATAAAACATCTTCTAGTAAATGTCTACCAAGTTTGTTCAAATAAAAGCCCTGGGGTCAAAATTGGCCCCACCCTGGGGGGTAATTGATTTTTCCGATATGCATATAGTAAAAACTTAAAAAATCTTCTTTTAAAGAACCGTAAGAGCTAGAGCTTAGATATTTGGCATTTAAAACATCTTCTAGTAAATGTCTACCAAGTTTGTTCAAATAAAAGCCCTGGGGTCCCAAATTGGCCCCGCCCCAGGGGGTCATTGATTTTCCCTATATTGCATTAAAGTAAAAACTTAAAAAATCTTCTTTTAAAAGAACTGGTAAGAGCTAGAGCTGAGATATTTGGCATGAAACATCTTCTAGTGAATGTCTTACCAAGTTTGTTCAAATAAAAGCCCTGGGGTCAAAATTGGCCCCCGCCCCAGGGGTCATTGATTTTCCCTATATGCATATAGTAAAAACTTAAAAAATCTTCTTTTAAAAGAATCGTTAAGAGCTAGAGCTTAGATATTTAGCATGAAACATCTTCTAGTGAATGTCTACCAAGTTTGTTCAAATAAAAGCCCTGGGGTCAAAAATTGGCCCCGCCCCAGGGGTCATTGATATTCCTTATATGCATATAGTAAAAACTTATAAAATCTTCTTTTAAAGAACTGTAAGAGCTAGAGCTAAGATATTTAGCATGAGACATGTTCTAATGGGGTGTCTACCAAGTTTGTTCAAATAAAAAGCTCTGGTGGTCAAAACTGGCCCCGCCCCGGGGGTCATTGATTTTCCTTATATACATAGCAAAAACTTAAAAATCTTCTTTGAAAAAACCCAAATAACTAGAGTTTAGATATTAAGCATGAAACATCTTTAAGTAAATATCTACAAAGTTTGTTCAAATAAAAGCCCAGGGGTGAAAACTGGCCCTGCCCGAGGGGTGTCATTGTTTTTAACTATATGTGTATAGTAAAAACTTAAAAAATCTTCTTTTAAAAAACCCAATGAGCTAGAACTTAGATGTTTTGCATGAAACAACTTCCTATGGGTGTCTACCAAGTCTGTTCAAATAAACAAATAAAAGCCCTTTGGTAAAAATTGGGCTAGGGGGGGGGGGGGGCTATATACAGGTGAGCGACCTCAGGGCCATCATGGCCCTCTTGTTTAAGGCTATTTTATCTTTTACCTATTGAACTTGTTGAATGGACTTGTCCAATTTTCAGTTGGAAACAGTCCATTATCAGTTTTAGGGATATTTTTATAAATGTGAGGAAATAAGTAAGACAAACAGGTCAGAATTAGTCCAGGTAGTAAAGATAAGTAAACTTGCCTAGCTTTACTTGGATCAAATGATTTATTTTTCCATACAGAATGATGCTGACAATAACAGTTTGCTTAAAATGGTAAAGAATATTGGCTATATTTTTAGGGTGGATATTTGAAGGGGGTATTAAAATTTCAAAATATGAATGAAAATGATTTTGAAATAAAGTCTCAGAATGAAACAGTTTCTTCCACTTGCTGATTATTTCTTTAATCTTTTGTTTTTGTAAAAAATGTTTATGTGGGGAATGTCTATTAAATAAAGTAAAAAGTAAGTCTACTTGTATAATGACTATGTGTATCATATATACATTATATAATCAGTTTTAAATAATCACAACATCTATGCTATCTTTGTTTTTTTTTTTTAAATAAATGTTAAGATGTTACTAAGAAGTCTAAGCACATAAGTCTAAGGACTATGCGCTTATTTTTTTCTAAGGACCTTGCTTACCCATTGCAATACTCTTAAGATTTCCTTAAGATGAAAACAAAGTGCAGTGACAGTTTTGAATTTTTTATCCATTCACTATATATTAAACGATTAGTTTTGACTATATGCATGGAACACTTAAACAACCTGTTATTAAAATATTTTGTTAACAATATTGACAATTTACATGTATATCTTGTTCTTTTGGGAAAAAAAATCCAACCAAATTTACCAGTGATTTATGATACCATTTCTTAACTTTTAAAACATTCACTGACATTTATATACATGTAATGAACTTCAGTGCATTTATTTGTGATAATATTTTATGTTTTAGATGTTATTTTAAAATTGTCTCAAATTGTAGACCCCACCGGAATGTACTGATTTTTTCATGTTGGTTAAACAATGTGTTCATTAAATGTGCTTCATACAAATTTGTGATTGTTTTTATCTCTATTAAACAATTTCTCTCTAGGCATTGTCCCTTTTCTAGAACCTGTACAATAGTTGTACAAAAGATGTCTATGTAGCTCAAGGGGCTTAAATTGATTGAAATCTCTAAATACGTACATGTATCACTTTGTCAGAAAAAGCTCTTTTCTAGTTGTCTTCGTTAGTAGTTACCTAAATTTTGCCCATGTTTCATTATAGGCAATACTTTGAGGACAGTTATTTCAAATTCAATAAATTGCTAAAATAACGTATCTGAAAACTCAACTGTTAAAGCTGGGACAGAAAGATACACACATTTTTAGTCCCAGGTAAAAGTTATCCGGTTTGTAGAGCATTACAAAAAGAGTGGAAGATGAAACAAATGTTTCCTAAATAAAACCTGTGTTGTCAA